GAGCAGGTGAGGGAGGGGGGGGATGCCCTGAATGTTGGCTGCGTCAGCGTGAGGCCGTATTCCAATGTGGCGCATGTCGTTAAGGCACCGCGGTGCCCAACAAAGTTGCAACGCCAACCTCGATCCCGCTCGACCCAGCTTCACGGCCGTCCCAGTCGCCACGGGTCCTCCGCCGCACGCACCACGGGCCAGGTGGCGCCCCCCTCCGCCGGCCGCGCCTCGGCGCCCCTGCGCCGCTTCCCGCCGCCCCACTCGCCGCCGCCGCCGAGGCTGCCGCCGCGCCGCTTTGCCGTGCGCCGCGCCTCCAGGCGCGGGTCGCCGCTCGCGCGCGTCAGCAGCAGGTCGAGCGCGCCCGCGCCGCGCGCGCGCCGGAGCGCGGTGACGACGCACCCCTCCAGGCCCGCGCCGGCCGCGCGGAGGCCCATATTCAGGTTCAGCGCCGGCGTGATGCGGCTGACAAACCTGTCGCCCCAGGGCCGCCCGTCCACCTCCAGCTGCAGGCTGATGTCGAGCGGCAGGGGCACGCCGGGGAACCAGGTGGCGACCATGACCTTGGACACGTTGATTCCGGCACTGGGGATGAAGCGCTGGAGCTGCGGTTTTGGTTGCGAGGAGGGTGGCATGAGGTTGTGGGTGCGCAGAACTGCTGCATGGGGAAAGACGCCGGGTGAGGTCTGCCACGGGGCGTGCATGGGGCGGCCGCAGGCATGTGAGCGCAGGGGCACAGCATGGGACCTGGCATGCAGCTTGCATGCGCGTTGCCTGCACCGCGCATATGGCTTGCATGCGTCTTGCATGCCCCTTGCACGGCGCCGGCATGCGCCTTGCATGGTGTTTGCATGCAGGTTGCTCGTCTCAGTGGTCAATGCGCCTTTCATGACATGAGTCGATGCCCACCGTCTGCCAGACGCTGCCGGCAGGATGGGCGCCGCCGCTGTCGGGCTCGCACGCAGCACCATCATCGCCGCCGCCGCCGCTGCCGTCGCCGCTGAGTTGCAAGCTCTCCTCATCCTCGCCCAGCGCATGATCTGATCGCCTCCCCTCCCCGCCGCTGGCCCCCGAATGCGACTGCCATGCCCTGCCCTCGTGCTCCTCCTCCCCTTCCTCATCCATCCAATCTGCCGCTGCGAGCGACCCCTTCAGGCCCGCAGCCGTCCTGCCATGGGCCGGCAAGCAAGACTTGCCATGGTCGGAGGGGCAGTCCGGGGATCCGAGCAGCGGGCCGAAGGCCTCCGCCCCAGGGCTGCCTGAGCCGCTGCTGCTGCTGGCGCGCGCGCGCGCGGCGGCGTCCGCAACCGCCGCCGCAGCTGCGGTCGCCGCTGCGGCCGCCGATGTGGGGGCACCTGGTGAGAGCAAGGGACGCTGAGGTGCCGCTCCGAGGGGAGCTTGCGCCTCCTGGACGACGTCTGCCATGGCTGGCTGCCCGCGAGCGCTCGTTGCGTGCTGCTGCCGCTGCTGCTGCTACCGCTGCTGCTGCCGCTACCAATGCTGCTGCCACCCCAGGAGTGCTGCCGTGGATCTCACAGCACAACGCGAACTGATTGATTTGAAACTTAGCGCGTGAAATGAGTGCGCCGTCAGGGCCGAGTCTGCCGTATCTGGGTGCTGTGTCGCGCTGTGAACAACTTTGTCGCGGCGGAGACGAGCGCGCTCAACAGCTCATTGGCATTCATACATGTGCCTGACGAGCCCCTGTTGCAATATAGACGAGGCTTGCTGCACACCCGACACATTTCCGTTGTGGTGCGCAACGCATAACTTCATCACTGGTCAATGCGCTGGCGGCAGGGCGGCCGGAGCCACCCTGCAGCCTCATGCTGATTTGTGACCAACAGTGCGATGATGCAACAAAAGTAACTGCAGCTTTGCCTCCCTCATCTCATCATCATGATGCAGCGCCACCACCTCATAAGCGACGGCCCCAGCGTCCCCGTCGGGCTGCCTCCATTAGTACTACATCACGGTACGAGAGCCCATGGACGCACCTGGGGGGGGGGGGCGCGTTGGCGCATGACTGCCATCTTCCCAGCTGGCATCTTCGTTGATGAGGATGGGGGGGGGGGTTGGGTATTGAGTGCCAGCAAGCACACCGAGCCGCGAGCACGGATCATTAGGGTAGCACCAGTCAAGAGCACCGCTGCACAGCAGCACCGAAAGACAGCTATGCGCCGCCAACAAACATACATCAACAGAGGTGCGTGATATTTGTTGTGCAATTTATTGAATGGCTTCCATGCGCCGTGAACAGCGGCGTGGTGGGTGCTGAGAGGGTGCGCCATGCAACAGCCATCCACAAACCCCAACCACCGGCCTAGGGATATGCCCCTGCCAACTGCACGCGGCTCAAAACACCTCGCATGTCTAGCCAAAGGCGTGACCCGCAGCAGCCGCCGTGCGTCTTTTTGCATCCAGCTTCTGCAATCATATCAATGCCGCTCCGGCGTCACCCTTCATGCACGCCCCTCAGCCAGAGCAGGGGCTACGTGATAGCCGAAGCTGCAGCTCGCCGTGTGAAAGCGCGTCTCGCAACAAAGGCTGACCCTCCTGCCGCTGCTGCTGGTGCAGCCACTTGTGCTAGTGCTGCTGCTGCTGCTGCTGCTGCTGCTGCTGCTGCTGCTGCTGCTGCTGCTGCTGCTGCTGCTGCTGCTGCTGCTGCTGCTGCTGCTGCTGCTGCGCGGAGCCGCTGTTGCCGTTGCTCTTGTTGCTCCTAACAAGTGGCCGAGTTACTGTCATCAGTCCACCACTGTCAAGTGAGACGGAAGAAGCACTGTCAAACCAACAGACTCAACGCCATCAAGGAAAAGCCGGGTTTGTACAAGCAACATCCAGCAGGTACACATTCAAGCTGGCCAAGACGCGCGTTCAGCAAAGTGCTCGACGCTCTCTCAACCGCTGCTGGCCCTCGCCGCCATCCCCTCCATCCAGGCCCTCGCCAGCCCCACCTCCCCCTTGCAGCACGCGCGCCGCAGCCGCCGGTAGTCGGACACCACAAAGCGGTGGCAGCCCAGGGGCGCCGCCGTCGCCGCGTCCACGGCCGCCAGCACGGCGTGCAGCTGCGCCTCTGGCAGCCCCAGCGCGTCAGCCGCCCTTTCAACTTCATTCAACACTGCTGCCACCGCAGTCGCCGCTTTTGCCGCGGCCGTCGCCCCATCCTCGATGTCAAACTGCAAAATCTCCCGCAGCTGCAGCGCGGCGAGCGACGCGGACTGGGCACCGGCGCCGCCGCTGGACGCATGAGCACCAGGGGTGGCGCCCGCCGCCTTAGCCTCTGGCGCATTGCTGCTGGGGCCCGCAGTGGCGCCCGCCACAGGTCTGGGCAAGGCGTGGGCCGCTGGAAGCGGTGGCGCAGGGGACTCCGTTGCATGCCCTCCGCCACGGCCGCCCTGCTGCTGCTTGCCGCAAGCGGCGCCCTGTGTTGCAGCCTCAGGTGCCTGCTGCTCGCACGGCCGGTAGCCGCCAGCGCCATCGCTCCGTTCTCCATTGAATACTGCACCTGTGGCCGCCTCCTCCTTTGAGGTCCTGGGCTGCCGCTGCTTGCGCTGCTGCCGCCGCTGCCGCCGCTGCTCTTGCCCCTCTGGTGCATGCTGGTGGCGAGCTGGCACCTCCGGCGGCCTCCGCTGCGGCTGCGGCGGCTGCGGCCGCTGCTGCTGTGGCTGCTGCGGCTGTTGCGGCTGCCGCAGTTGTTGCTTGTGGTCCGACAGCTGATTTTGACCATGCCCCATCTCGTCACTGGGGTTGCTGCCGCTGCCCATGCGTGCCCTTCCACACCCACTGTCAGCAGCACGCACGCCCTGGCCTGTCGTCACAGCCGCCGCCGGCAGGCGCCCCGCCAGGCTGGAGATAATCAGGTCGATTGCAGGTATCAGGCCTTGCACAGAGGGCCGCCGCCGGAACGCCGTTATCTTGCAGCCGGCCAGCACCTTGAACGGGGCGAGCAGCTGCTTGCTCATGTAGTAATTCAACGTGATCGTGCTGTCGAAACGCGACCCCCAGGCCTGCCCGTCCACCTCCAGCTGCAGGCTGACGGGCAGGGGTCGCGGCGCGCCAGGGAACCAGGTGCCCATCATGCGCTTGGGGACGGTAATGGACGGACATTCACAGGCTGGGACCAGCTGATCCTGCACGTGGCAGTGGGGCGGGGGCAATTGGAGGGGCAGGGTGTTCGTGTTGGACTGAGCACAGCTGCACGGGCAGCGCGTTCATGGGGCTAGCCTGAACGTGCTTGCTACAGCCGCTTGATTGTAGGAAACGCAAGATAAGGCAAGAGGCGAATTTGACTAGGCGCCCTACCATATCCGATCTGTCCAGCCAAGTAATGCAGACAATGCCAATTGCCAACTCACAGTGGGCCACAGGCTGTCTAGACGCTGCCGCCACGGCGGCACCTGCAGTCCAGATCCTGGCGCCGGCTGCTCCTCGCCCCTTTCGTCGCCCTCGCTGTCACTCTCGCTGTCGCCCTCGCTATCCTCTGTGCTGCGGCCGCTGCTGATCTGGTCTTCCTCCATGGCATCCCTGCGGTTCTCCTGGGCCTCGTTCTCGGCCTCCTCCGCGCCATCCCGCTGCTGCTGATCACTCGTGTCCGTCTGCAACTCCTCCTCGTTCCTGTTGCTGTCATCGCCCTTTTCTGCTTGCTGCTGCTGCTGCTGCTGCTGCTGCTGCTGCTCTTGCTGCTGCTGCTGCTGCTGCTGCTGCTGCTCTTGCTGCTGCTGCTGCTGCTGCTGCTGCTGCTGCTGCTGCTGCGGCGGTGGCTGCGGCCGCTGCTGGTGCGGCGGCGGCGCCTGACGTGGCCTTTCACAATGCCCCGTCCCCTCGAGGGGGTTGCTGCCGCTGTCCTTGCGCATGCTGCCGCCCACCTCAGCTGCACGCACGGCCTTGTCCACCGCCGCCAACGCCGCCGGCCGGCTGTAAACAATCAGGTCGATTTTGGGTAGCCCTTGCGCTGAGGGCCGCCTCCGGAACGCCCTTATCCTGCAGCCGCCCTTGTCCCGCACCTTTTCAAACGGGGCGCGAAGCTGCTTTCTCATTTGGAGATGTGCTGTGATGGAGCTGCAGAACCTCTCCCCCCAGGGCTGCCCGTCCACCTCCAGCATCACGCTGACGGCCAGCGGCAGCCGCACGTCGGGGAACCACGCGTCCATCATGCGCCTGGGGACGCTGATTGTCGGCTTGCGGCTGGTCGGGACCACCTGGGCCTGGGCATGTCCGCGGGGTGGGCGCAAGCGGGGGGGGGGGGGTACGGTGTGTATCCGCTCAAC